AAACACTTCAGAGACATCTTTTGTATATATCTGAGACCTATAATATATTGATGAAAAACAGTATGATAGGGGACCTTTAAGATCAACTTCTGTTTACATTTCTATGAGTGTGAGAAGGAAACAACGACTATAAGATCAAATCAGAGTCATGTGTGTGAGACGGTGGGTGAGTCTCTCCACCTTGCATACGGCAGCCTGGACGATGGCATCGAAGCCTCCCTCGGGGGCATCTCGGTTCCTGGACACCATCTGCTTCTTCACTTCCTCCGTGAAGCGGCCCACCTCCTCCGTCAGGGACAGAACGTGTTTGTAGCCAAACTGTGGCAGGCAGGTGGTGTTAATGCTGTCAATGAAGCAGAGAACATCAAGAGTTCACTAGAGCTGCTGTTTGATTCTTCATTCATTTCAACATCTGTATATGTCATTGTAAAAAATGTGTGGCCTCCATAAATTATTAAAAGCAGTTCAATTTTATTAAAGCAAGGGGGGTTAATTAACATTTAATTAAAAGTCTCTCCTACACTGCTGGTTGACCCCTTTTTCTCTCTGTATTCCACATTATTATTGGACTAAAATTCCCCCCTTTTCTTATCTTTTACACAAACATTCCTGGTGGCTGGAGCTCAGCAGACTGTGTGTAAAGCAAGTGACCCCCTAGAGACCCTAAACCACCAATTCCCCCTCAGAGGAGCCTTGGGCCGGAGTAACAGCCTTTAGCATCAGGACGCTCTGATTCTCCGGGCAGACCTTTAGCATCAGGACGTTCTGAGTCTCCGGGCAGATTACCTGCGGCTGATTCCCAGTAGCTGACCTAGCACCACTGTTAAGCCTTTAACAAGTGCTGTGACTCCGGGCATGCTTGCGTTTTGACTTTGCAACACTGTGTTTAAAGGTGTCCTCACTATAATGACATCAGCTACCTTATGAAGCTAGTTTTCCACAAGCAGACATAAACAACCAGTGAAATCAACACCAGTGGGTAATAATTAAGAATACAAAACAATGGTAAATGCAACCACAAAAATAATCTTTCTATAACAAAGGGATCTGGATTCTGTTTAGGTACCTATATGAGGCCCACTGTTCAAAATATAAGTGTAGTTGGACAATGACAATCTTAAGTCCCAGACTACATACATAACCTCAAACAAATTTAAAAAACAATAAAATGAGTGCAAGAAGAAACAGAGTAGAAATAAAATGGTGCAAGAGAATGTGACAAGACTAAAGTGCAAGTAATGCAGGAGAATTAAACTACTATATACAAGTAATCAAGTTTGAATAACGCCCATAAAGTTGCATAATACGGTACGAAGAATTTATTATAATTGTCTTTTACCTGTAGCAGGGGTTCTTCACAGCCTCTTTGGGGGAGATGTACATGTAAGGCGAGAGCGGCTTGTCCACAAAAGCCCCAAAGCCCATGCGGAGGTTGCTGGTGGTGCGGTTCATGGCCTCGGCCAGGCCTTTTCCCAAAGTCCTCAGGCGGAAGAGGTCATCGTTCATGGAGTAAGAGAGATCCATGAGGTAGTAGAGATCCACAGGGTAGTCCTCTACCTGACGCACCTTCACTGTGAAGCGCTTAGCATCATCTTGGAAGGGAGATACAGAAACATCATTTTTCAAATAGATTTTCTTCATGGTACATCTTTTATAAAAATGTTCTTGATATTCCCCAATCTCTCCACTTCAGGATGTCAGAAACGTCATTCCTTACCTGGTCTGAGGGTGATTTGTAGTCTCTGTGGTTTAATCTGTGTGACATCTTGCGTGGCCCCTGCTGCCTTGTTGCTGAGAGGCCGGTCCTCGATCACCTGCATTTTGCTGATTGGAGACTCCAGAGAAGACGTAGCACAGCCTGCTGCCACCAGGTTACTCTTCAGGTCACACCGGGAAGATCTGGCAAACCCCTGGCCGAAGTCCTGACAGAAGAGGCATATACATTTTATACAGAGAAGCAGTCAGCTGTTCAAAGGTATTTTATGTGTTAAAAATGTGTCATACAGATGTTTATTTAGAGAATTCCCATCTGGAATAAAGCTTTGTTGAGAGATAAGGGCATGTTGGATTGATTTGAAGGATCCGTGATGAGGAAGTTCAACATGATGTTCCTGTCAAACTAATTTCTTGGAATAAAGATGCACTCCAACATCTTCGCAACACAATTAAGCAAATTCCCCCTCAAATGAAAAAGACCATCCCATTTGAACACTGTCTGACAGTTTAACCAGTCTCAGCAATGGTCAAGTGAATTCATCCTGAGAAAATAGGGCACTTGTGTGAAAGGCTTTGTGTGTCGACTCCACGTTCTGCAATGATAAATCACTTCAGATTAGTTTGAGCCATGACTACATCCACATGCAGTCACATAAGGACAGTCACTGTGTCTAAAGTGCCTGGATTTCACTTTCAAAATGGAATTCATATTCACCTGGACACATTTGATGTTGTAAAAACTGAAATTTCTCAACCAAATTAAGTGGTTAAAAAGGAGATATGTACCACTGTTGGCTTGCAAAATGTTCATTGCCTGAATGAAGTGAAGTGGAAAAGGAACCCACCTCCTGTAAGCACCACGCACAGCTGGGGTGAACAGCCAGACACTGCTTGCATGTGCTGGCCCCTCTGGAGGTGCAGACGTTAGAACCTGTAACCAAACGCTGAGCTGCTTAGTTTTAACAAAAGCAGCCAACAGCAATTAGTGTTTACCTTATTTGTGGGTTGTTGTTGTTGTTGTTGTTGTTGTTACTGATTTCAATTCAAATTAAAACACATATATTATATAGTATGAGGAACTTGGCTAAGGAGCAGATTTGAGGTATATTTGATGAGAACAAGTTAAAGAAAAACAGTTTGTTTAGAGAAATCAAACCAATTAGCAAAATGAAACACAAATGAAAAGTTTTTCAAGTGTTAGACAAGTGAGTAAAAATACTAATTCTACATACCTAATGTCCTTGTGTATCCACTCACTGTCATAACTATCAGCATTTTCTTTTTTATTACTGCCGATTTTTATTCCATATTTTATTCCTTTTTATTCCATTCAATTTCTATGTAAATACTACTGTTGTATTTTACTGTACTCTTTATTATTTTTTACATTTTTCTAGTTCTCTGTGTTTTTTTTGTTTTTTGTTTTACTTTTATGTATGCACCAGGACATCAAGTCAAATTCCTCGTACGTGTCAACCTACCTGGTAATAAACCTGTTTCTGATTCTGATTCTGATTGAAAGGCAGGAAAACACACGCACATTTCACAAATAAACATCACTGACACTTGAATTGGAGAAGGACATGCAGATCTGTGCAATCCAATTAATCTGAAAGCATATTCTTTTTAGTAGAGTTGAAATCTGGTTTGATGTTTTTTTTCTCCCTGGAATATATTTTTGGCTGCACGGGCAAAACATTTAAACTACATGTCAGCACCTACCGCATATTCCCGTTATTCCAATGCAGATATAAAGACACATCCATAGTGTCCTGCCCGCCGGGAGAGCACCCATCCTGGTGCGGCTCTGAGAGGAAAGAGCCTGCCAACGGGCTCTGCTGGAAGTACAAGCAGACCAAAAGAAGAAAAAACTCTCTTCATCTGCAATCGACACAACTCCAAATAGAGTCAAATGTCTTAACGCCACCCCCTCCCATTCTCCTCATCTACAGCTCTCATTATCATACTATTAACTGCAGTGGGCGGGAAAAGTGCAGCATCCACAATCTGAGTTAGAGGAGGTTTTCTTCTGGAGGAGCCGAGGAGGGCAGGTCTGAGCATCAAACATGTGACTTGTTAAACCAGTTGGTAAGTTGTTTTGCACCCTGGTGTCTGTTCTGAATCTGTTACTCAATATTGCGTACGGTCTAGCTAATAATAATATTCAAATGTCATACAAATGTGCATATCTCTCGGCACTACAATATGCCTATATTTTAATTAGAAGAGACAAATAGCTTCCGCAAAAAAAACAATTTATAGTGTAAGTTCTCAGTGGAAAATGTAGGTTTTATTGGCTGAATCGCTGAGTTGTGATGTGTTTGCTTTATATTACATGCAAATCAGCAATAGGCGAACTGTAATCAAGTGTATATGAGGTTAGTGTATACTGCTCACTAGTGGACATCCGCTGTAAGGACGAGTTTCACTTCTTGGTAGGTCTGAACCGTCTGAACACTTTAGCTGCAGGGTGTTCAAGGAAAAAGCAGACTTGTTTCTGTTATTTATGGCACAAATGACCGAATAATGACTTAAAGATAGGTTGAAAACGTAACTTTGATCAAATAATAGTTTAGCCTATTATTTAAAGCACTATTTATCGGTTGTCCTACTGAGCTACATCTGGTTGTAGTTTGTAATACAACAAATCGGTGCTTTTTGGAGAGCTAAGTGTCTCTGTTAGCCAAATTCTGACTAAATTGCGTATTTTTCACAAGCTGTAAATTGCTGTGGAGCCACATTGAGTAAACTACAATTATTTGGCAAGAATATTTCTTCATAGTCAATGAAAGCTTACCACAGTGGTCGTCGTAGAATTAACTATTTGCTCCATTTTTTTCAATTAGAAAGTAAGTCAAAACTTCAACTGATATCCAACCGTCTTTCTCGCTTTTTTCTACCTCTCTTTGTTTTGAATTGCATCCCCGGAAGTAGGCCTAAAGCACGTGATCTGATTAACACATCAATTATGAACCCCTCAAGTAAGGTAAACATTTGTGTTTAAATGTTTCCCACAGTACAAGCTAACTTTTCTTTAAAATACATTAGTATGGTTAACAATGGCTGGACAACACAGGTTTTAATGTGAATATGATAGTGGCTTAATAAGTACATTTAACATCCTGCATAACTATATTGTCCTTGGCTTTATTACCGTTTACATCCACCATATGTCATTTTCTTCATGTGAAATCTACAGTTTTTGAAATCTTGTGATTGATGCATCTGCACAAGTGTGGATTTCATTGGTCCTAAACTTATTTAAGTTTCCCCCAACTTAACACTTCTTTTAGTCTTTCAGTCAATTGGCCTTTGTTAATGATTATTATGATCACTGAAGCCTGTGAGTTGACTGGGGTGGGAGGATACTGCAGGGAAAACACATTTAGTTAAATAATTTAAATTGCTAGCGAGGTAGGTGAGTCTCTCCTGGTTTGATTAATGGAAAACATCACTAGTTATTAGTGTCTGCGTTTGGTTACACAGTCACTCAAGGTTAACCAATAGCAATTATTTGACCCAGACTTTATGCCTTATGTTTTGACTCCAAGCTGAACTTGCCCTGAGACATTTTCAACAATTCATGGAGAGTGACAAGGAATATGTTTTTTGTTATGACAAACAAGCTTTTAGGATATTTAGTTTTTGCAAAACAATCATGTTTATCTGCATTTCTGGTTGCTGGACTTCCTCACAGAGAGACCACAAGCTGTACGGGTCAACAACAACAACACTTCAAACACCCTCATACGGGGGCCCCCCAAGGATGTGTGCTCAGCCCCCTTCTCTTCACCCTGCTGACCCACGACTGCAAACCCAACTTCAGCTCCAACCACATTGTGAAGTTTGCTTACGACACTACTGTGGTGGGTCTCATCAGCCACAACGATGAGACTAACTACAGGAAGGAAGTGAACCATCTGGCCCTGTGGTGCCAAAATAACAACCTCTTCCTCAACCTGGAGAAAACAAAGGAGATAGTTGTTGACTTCAGGAGAACCCACTACCGACCCCCCTCTCCTCCTGACCATCAACGGTGCTGCTGTAGAGCAGGTGACCAAGGCAAGGCAAGCAAGCAAGGCAAGGCAGGCAAGGCAATTATAGTTTATTTATAAAGCACCTTTCAACACAAGGCAATTCAAGGCGCTTTACAAAAATGAAAGACATTCAGACAAAGGCATTTAAAAAATGTCATTAAAAAAGAAAAGATAATAAAAGAAACATTAAAAGAAAAATACAAGAATAAAAAGTACATGAATAAAAAGTTACAGTGCAGTTTAAGATATGAATAGTTCACACAGAAGTTCCGTTTTACTGATGCCTTTCTTTAAGGTTTCTCCGAACATGAGCTGTGTACGCTTGTATGGCACATAAGTCCCGAGCAGCAGAGAAAACCAGCCAGGACAAAGTCCCCAGACACTGATTCCCTGGGGTTACTAGCCCCAAATGTTCATTAACCAAAAACGAAACACAACCGCTCAGTTTCAATTAAAAGCAGCGGCCAGAGGTATCTTGTCTTACATTAACACAAGTGGAAATATATTATTAGAAGTTATTAATGTACAACAACACCGTAAACACGCAACCCAGAGTTTCCGAGGCGAGGTCAGACGCGGTCAGGGAGCAGTGTAGAGGGTGACGTACGGCTGAGGGCGGAGGTAACAGTTACGTTTGTTAGACAGTAGACTCTAGTTGTGTCAGTCGAAATAACGAGTTTTACAGATTTACACAATTATGTATGTCCGATAGGAAGCTGAGATTGCGCAAGAGAGCGTCGTCGACGGTGGTCACACTGGATATGATGTTTGTTGCTATGTTTTTTCCCGGATTGATTTGGCTCCATAATTTGATTCAATTATCAGTGGGAGGGTTATTCATGATCAATATTATATACCATAAAAAAATATTGGTTAGGTGTCTTGTAATTAACTTTAATTACATCATAATAATCACGTTTACTCTTTTAATACAAATTTCATTCAAAGTCACGCATCGTCGCCTCTACCATCTTTTCACTGACCTACTCCCTTCCAACACACACAACACCACACCACCCCCCCCTTCAATTTCAGTCCAGCTAATACCGTCCCCAACCATCACCCAAGAGGGACTTCAGTTGTTGTTAGAGAAAACAAAAGAATGTGGACTCCTTCTCGTAATAAAACCGTGTGTCCCGGTCGACCAAGTGAAGGAAAGAAATCAATCAGAGGTAGCACACCGACTACTCGTAAGTCAATAAGACGGTTTATAGACCTTGTTTGAGTCGTGGGACCCTGAGGATGATGAAAATTTATGCGCGAATCCTGNTCGAGGGAAAATTCCCCATACACACACAGGTTACCAAATAAGGAGTGATAGGGATGCGTAGAAAAAACGAAAGTTGCGCTAGCCTCTGGTGGCTACCATTGGCAGCTAATTTTTCTTCTCCGATTTTTGCATAAAAAATTGAATTATGGACTATCAATACTTTTTTCAAAGTGACAGACACATTGCTATAACCTATGGATTAACCTTCGGCCGCTTTTTTTCTCGTTTTAATACCATTGAACACGACTTTTGATCAGAATAACAGCTAAGGTGAGCATATCTCCGTGTTTTGCTACCTAAACTACTCGTGTGTTGTCTGTATTTGCTTCCCCTGTCACAAGTTCAAATCGCTCAGTGATGATCCTTATATTTCTATAATCTGTGGAATCTCAGGGTGTTATCTAAGCTTGTTTGTGCAGGTCTAATAAGTATATCGAACGGTATAGCTAGAGTTCTGTGCTCTGCGTTAGCATGTTTTCGCTCAGGGCTCATTTAGACCCTTCTTGTGAGACTTGTGTTTTTGTTTCGGTAAAAATGGTTCATATCATTAGTTAACTGAGTTTCTTCCCGTTAGGAGGGTATGCCATATTCATAGTTTTTTTAATATTAAGAAGCCCTGAGACACAGTGTTGTGAAAAAAAACAAAAAAGACCCGCCGAAGGGGTCTTTGGGGCTTAACTGTCGGAGCTTGTCCAGGCACGTTAAGTGGGAGTGGACTTGAAATCCTTAACTCAAGGTGTAGAACAATTAAGTTATCAAGCCAATTGCATTACTTACTACAACTTTAATTTTGTTTTAAGTCAATTAACGCAGAAATCCGAATTTAAATTACACACAATATTACACTAAGTTGATGTAATTACCAACATTATTACGTCAACACAACTTATAAATTAATGTTTGCAACTTAAAATGTTTATCTAAATCAATTAATTCAAATTTGTATCTTGCAACCATGCATTTAATTAAGTGGTGGTAAAAGGTCCCCTGAATGACTTTTTAGAGTGTAATATTTGAATTTCTCACTGTGATTGGAGAGACTTTTCAGATGCACTCAAATAGATTTTCAAAAAAAATTCACACCAAAAAACCGCTAATCCTCCTTTTCATACCCTTGGAAACGTATTTTTAAATACAAAAGCGGTTGTTTCAGACCTCTTAGTAAACCTTTGCCTGACTTTGAGAAGAGAGGGGAGGCATATCAGCAAATAAAATAAAAGAGCATGAAAAACATTTTTTAAAAGGCAAACATAAGCACCACTCACATTCACATACAAACAAATGGAAGCATCAAGCTCCCTTTTGGAGGTGGAGGTGAGTAACGGCTGTTGTAGTAAAATATTCCAGCTGCAGCATGTGTCAGAAGTTTTTCCACTAATCTCTTCTTTGAGTGGGAAACTAAATATCTGTGTCTGAGACCTGTCACACAGTGCCGCATCACAGGAAGATCAAAAACCCCTTCGGCAAGCTTTTCCATTGTCTGAGAGATGGGGCTCTTTTGAGAAACGAGGGATGGGGAGAGAAGGGTTTGGAGAAAGAGGAGCAAAGAGAGTTGGAAGCAGGGTTAATCCCACACTGTCATTATCCTCACTTCTTAGCCACAGTCTGCAAGCTTCCCCGTAATGAAGGCCATTTTCAAGGATTTGCACCTGGCATAGACGCCAAATTCTGCAGTAATTACCGATACAGAGACATTCCTCGTACCTTTAGCCTTTACTGCAGGTTATAAATAGTAATTCCTCGCCATTCTGCAGAACTGTAAACCTGCAGAAAAAGCAGCATCTTCAGCATTTGAGCTCCAAACTAATAATGATGTTTACTGTTAAAAAAAAGAGCTTCTCGTCTGCAAACAAACATAGAGGCTTTGTTTTGCTTCAGCTCATTTCATGATCTATTTGTTTAATTGGCAATGATTTGCCTGAGGATATACAATAGTAATGAAGACACTGTGTTATCCAATAAATGAAGTAAACATGAGATAACCATCTCTTTTAAGAACTTCGCATGAAAGCTTTTATGTCAACCTTCAATTCATTAAGAAACAAAGCGCAGTGACGAGTGGAATGAAGGAAAAAAGCTAACATTATAGCTTTATATATTTATACAAAAAGTTTATCAAACAATATTGATGTTGATCATGTCAAAGTTAGCTCCCTTGTTGTCAGTCACACTTTTGTTTTCTATAAAAGGTGTATTAGAGTTCAGTGCACGGTAGCTGTTCTCCACAGTCACCTGCTTGTGTCCATATGGGATCCCAGAGGAGTCATTAAGAAACACTCCGGTTTCCCATGTTGCACCACTGCTTCTTTCCAATGACTTAACGTCACTAAGCATGCCCGAGCACGATGATCAAACCCAAACATCCTCCCCCTTCTCCCTCCGGCTTCATCTTACTAACACTGGCTTTTTATGCATTGTTATAGAGAGACTGATGCATAATACAAACTGGAAATGAAGTAATTAAATGACAAACCCAGAAGTGAGAATATCTTTTTACTTCCGTCAGTTGAAAGTTAATTGTATTTACATGGAATATTTGTATTGCAGTTTGTGCGTGTGTTCTTTAGTCTGCATGCAACTGATTTGGCAGTTTTCCCGTAACCGATTAAATGATCTTAATCACTTGGTGCTCGTAACCCACTGAATCATCTGAACTGTAACTCTTGTTCCTGTCAACTCCTCAGAAACACACTGGAGCCACAGTGACCACTGTCAGGCCTTGAGACAATATTTTCTCATGAGGATTCTGATTATATCCATTTACAAATACATTTTTGAGGGAATTTTAATGACACAGCCATCATAATTCACTTATTTGCATGTGTTTAGAAAATATGTCGATCTTGAAAACAGTCCAAAAATGTAACTTTCCCCTGCACTTTATAAAGACCAATCTTTCTTCAGCACTAGTATATTGCTAATTGGTGAATCATTTGTAGGATAGTGAGTTTCTGGTTGGCATGGCAAAGGTTTCTTTTAGAGTCCTAAGCAGCTTCAGGGTTGCTACTCTTTCTTTTCTTACATGGTTTGAAGAATTAAAAGACACAGTCATCTGCTCACATATTTACAAACCAATATTGAAATATTTGTTATCGCTAGAAGATCACACTAAAATCCCAAAGTTCCTTCAGAGGGAGTTTCTCTCCCACAAACTCCTTCCCTGCCTTCAACGCCTCCATTGTGGCCCTTTGTTTACTTCAGTAACATAGTGACAACAGTATGTCACCCTTGCGCTTCTATTGGCTAGCACTCCAACACATTGTAAGTGATAAACTAAGGGGTGGGACCTCTCTAAGTGGTTGACCAATCAAAACAGAGCCGGCCAGCTAACCAATCAGAGCAGACTGGGCTCTGGTTTCAGACAGAGGGTGAAAAGAGGTGCTGTAGCACGGGCAGTATCAGAGAAATAAAGACCTTTTTGAACATTAAAGCATGGAGACATGTCATAAAATACAAATATGAACCTGTGGGAGGCGTGTGGCGCAGTGGATAGCCTTGGTGTTGGGATCAGGGGGTCACAGGTTCAAACCACAATGCAGTCAGCATGTCGTTGTGTCCCTGGGCAAGACACTTCACTCCAAATTGCTCCTGTGGAGATTCTCCACTGCATTAGCCGCTTTCACACCGCAGGACTTGCCGTACTTTAGTGCCGGCACTAAAGTACCACGGCACTGAATCCGCCAGGGGGCTAGTGCCAATCGCATTCACACCGCAGTACTTTCCCTGAGGCAAGATTACGCTGACGTCACTTCGTCTTCTTCTTCTCTGGGTTTACTGGCAGGCCGCAAAACCACTTCACGGCGAGTACAAAAAAAACGAGAGAAGAAGAACTACACGGGGGAGAGGGTATAAAGCCCATCCGCTGTACATGATATAGGCTATATATATATATATAATAGATAGGCTCAGCAGACAGACCGTAGTGCAAAGATAAAGTGTCACATGATTATCTACTAAATAGTTAATTCAGCATCACTTCACCAAGATGAAGTTCATATCTTCCTAAAATACGTGTTTTTTATGTCCCTACTAGAATCCGAGCTCAAATTACTCAAACCAACAAAATGTCCAAGCAAAGAATCATGTGCACCATGAGGCTGGGTTATAAGGGTAATTTGTTGGTTTGAGTAATTTGAGCTCGGATTCTAGTAGGGACATAAAAAANTGTGTGTGTGTGTGTGTGTGTGTGTGTGTGTGTGTGTGTGTGTGTGTGTGTGTGTGTGTGTTTGCTAACCTGTTCAAGGTATGAAACCAGTGCTTCACGGTTGCCCATCCATTCTCTGGGCAGTGCGGCGGCTGACGGGAACTTATCACAGCTCAGCTCCAGTGTGATCTCAAAACAGTTGCTGTACAGGTAGTTGAAGTCCTGCATGCCTGAAAAACACACAGAAACAGACTATTTACTTAGAGAATATATGGCTTATCGAGTGTTTTACATGGACTCTTAGTCTGTTTCTTTAAGGAGTTGTTCAGATTTGTGAGGAGTGATTTATCATTTAAGTCCTTCTAAAAAACGACTGTTACATACTTTCAGTCATTGAGACACTGAAAGCTTTTACAGCATTTATCATGTGGTCAAATGCATTTTCCAAGACCACTACAATGTTATACTTGGATAAATCCTAAACACTTTAAATGAATGCATTTTAAACAAAAGGAGAATGGATTTGGCTTTACAACCTTGCGATGGATCATAACTTTTCATAGAGGCTATAAATCTTATGAAGCCAAGATTATAACAGGTAAAGTTCAAATCTAACCTCATAGCCCATGACATAAGACTTGGAGCTCAAGGAATTGGTAAAATAAACATACCATACTTGTGTTAAATATGACTGTGGGCGTTTTCATCCAATTTGAAAGCTTGCATGACTTAACCGAAGAGTTCAACAGATTCACATTCCAAGGAATAATCCCGACCAGTCCAGACCAGGATTTACAGATCAAAGACGTCTGCCTAGTGATTGTTGCAGTTACAGATAAACTGAACTGAAATGTAATACATGCCCAGACAGTTTGATGTACTTGGTGTACTGTAGCTTCCAAGTATTCTATTGCAAAATAAATTCTCATAAAGAAAATGGGGGAGGATGAAGACTTTAATGTGCTGCCAGTGCCTGAGCGCTTATAACTCTAGTAGGTGGCCAATGCTAGTAAAGAATATTGTATTAAACCAAACCCTAAAGGAGGTCAGTAGATCTGCTGACAGGACAAACTGGAAGACACAAGACTAATAATACAGTTAACACATCAAGTGTTTATTAAAATCTACACTAGTACGTATTGGCATAGTGAAATTCTAAATTAAGTTAATAAAAAAGCAATTTCTGTATGCGTAAAAAGGCATCTGTTTATTTGGCACCAGTTGGATGACCGATGGGTGCACTTACCTTCTCCATCAGCCTATAGTCTATTGGCTATAAACATGTTCAAAGGATGATGTTGAGATGTTTCCAGTGATATATTTGACATTTGATCAAGACAGACTGCAGCAGTTACTTAACTTGTGGATTCAAGTCAAGATTTCCTCAAACTGCAGTGTGCATTCAAATGAAAATGAAAATGGAAGAGCAGTTGACTTTATGGTTAAAAAAAGCAAGGCCCTCCCTAACATTATACAATTATCATTCCCTTGACAACATGTGCAATATTTAAAACATAATGCAACTTTTAAATGTGTTTAACTTGTTGGAATCTTCTTAATGCATACACATATCACTGCAATAACTTCTATCAAGTTGCATTTTAAATATGTTCATCAATAAGTCATAGGGACAATGGACCTACCACATTTCTAATTATGAACAATTATGGCAAATATAGAACATTGTGATTAAACATCCCAGTTACTATTTGTTTTTCTTCTGTTTTTTGACCAACTTAAAACGTTTTTACCACTGTCAGTGACAAAATTAACTGTACACAAGTGGCAGCTCTGTGGCTGAAATAAAACATATATCTGGGATGGAATAAATTAAAAGGGCCATGTGCTTCCAAAAACAATTAGACTACCCCTCTTTCAAAAGACTACCCTCCCTTCACATGCTTATCATTTGTGTACAGTCCCTAAGTTGTTGTTGGCATGTGTCATTTACAAACATTAGCAGCTAAATCCGAGGTGGTCAGTGGAGGGGCAGCTGTTGGTGTGCAGAAGGTGAAGAGGTTAAAAGCAAGAAGAGAGCACAGAGGCCTGGAAAAAGTCAGAGAGTTCATGACGGCACCGCCAAAGATTGCTTTGCAAGCCACTCAAGGCATGTCAATCATTCTGAAATCTATGCCAGCACCTGACATCATTCATGCAGGTGGCCTTGTCTTTCTTTGGAAAGGGAATGATAATGGACGCTCTCCAACACATTGGAATTTGCACAAATAATAAGGGTAATCTTAACCTGCCTTCACCAGTGGCTGTGCAATGTTTGATACAAACCAGACAGGGTATATTGTTCCAGTGGATATTTATTTCTTAAAGTCCAAGTATTATACTGTTTTTCATCAATATAGGAGGGGGGGGGGGTTGTTACCTTGGTTGGTTATTGGCTAATGGTTACACAACCCAAAAAATCGTTATGACATCATAAAGTGGCCAAAATGTGATCAGCTCATTTTCAGACAGAAAGAGAATATTTTTTCCTGAAACTTTCAGAATCCCTTTACACAGAGGGGACACATCTTTATGTATAAAAGGCATGAAAAAGTGGATTTTGCACAATAGGTGACCTTAAAAATCCCAAGTTTGTTTCTTACCTTTGGACAGAGAGTACCAGCTGGCGCCGTTGGTGATCCCCTCATCGAAGAAGTCCCCACAGTTCCAGCCCTTGTGCATCCAGCTGTGGGCGTACGAGTAGGTCCTCGCCAACTGTCATCACACACAAATGCACATACGCCCAGTTATTCACATGTTTTCACAATCACACAAACATAAACACAAACAGACAGGGATGAGATCAGATGCGTGTAACATCTGGAAATCCTTTTCAATCTGCTGCACACCTTCCTGAAGAGTTTGTCGTCCGCAGTGGCCGCGTACGTGGTCCTCCCTCGAATGCGAGGGTCTCTCGACTTATCGAAGGGGTAATTGGCTACCACGGCTCCTCCATGGAGGTTGGCTGACAGGATAAAGTTGTAGTTTTGCATCCATTTTATGACCGCCAATGTCTCTGGTTCAACCTGTGGAGGATGAGAGTACTTTCAGGGCTGATGACAAATGGACAGTTGTACACAATGATATACACACAAAGACATTTTAGAGATAACATCTTATTGCATGTCACTGTTTACTATGGGGAGAGTTTAGAATTAAGGTCCATATGGAGTCCCTAACTTTCGCAAAATCATCTGACCAATGTCTTCTTATTGCCTAACCGACTTTTTGTATGTTGTCGTGTTAATGATATTGTCATACACATTCTCTTCATCCCAGACTTTTCATAAACAACAATGAGTGGACCCAAGACATCTGGTTTTCTTTTCACTCAGAAACACTGGCCTCTCTGCTCGGCTGCTTAAGGACAATCCCTCGTTACCTTAGCCAAGGAGGTAATGTTTTCAGTTTGGTTTGTTTGCGCGTTTGTCAGAAGGATTACATAAAAACTACGGATGAAACTTGGTGGAAAAGTGTAGCAAAGGCTAATAAAGAACACATTACATTTTGAAGAATCACGAGAGGATACACAAATATATTTCTCTTCTGGAAACGACCTTGGTTTGCTCTCTCCAAGTGCCCTTTTGGTTTTCTCTGCTTGCCATATGCAAATATGTTCTCAATTCCCCTTTTCATTTTCAAGCAACCAGGTCTCAGAAGTTGTGGTTAATTTCCGAGGTATCGTCAGACTTTCTAATCCCTATTAAGTGATTTTCCAGCTTTACTTTAGTCCCCTTCCCCCCTCAAACTCAAAATAATGTATCTTCTTTTTATGTAGACTGAAAATTGATGGATGTATATGCACTTGTCAAGCAGGCCAAACCTTTTTCTGTTTTTCAGTCTGGAATTCAGAGAAAGAGATGAGTTTTCAAGATGAAGCAAGATTAAAGCTGCATGGATGGAAACAGGACATTTACTTCTATTGCAAATCTTCAATATGCAAACTATTCTAAAACAACAATCTATGGTAGCTCTCATGCAATGCAACAGACATCTTGAAGCTTTAAATTCCATTTTATGCTGCCATTTATTTTCTCTGTCAGTGCTAACTATCCTCACACACTCCCAGCCATGTCATGCATGGAGACAAGGAGAAATGCTTCTCCTTGAATAAGGTATGTGGCATAATAAACACAGTTTGGTTCAGCTGCAGAACTATCAGGCGGAGACTAACTGGCCTTGAAGTGGAACTGGCAGGTGTTTATTGTCTGTCGATCTTTATATACACTCGGCGTGCTTAAAGTCAGAGCTGTCGCCATGGTGTTGGGTTACATATGAAGGACACTGATAATCATAACAAACTCAAATACTAAACAGAGGGAATACAATGCCATCTACAATACAATACATGCAAGACTCTGGGTCATTACCATACATTGTTAGAATGCACACATTGTATGAAGGATTCTTTTTTTTTATAAATAAGCTATAGCAGATCATTTTAGATTCGTTTTTTTACCTTTGCCCTGTCTACATTTTAATTATTTTGTGAAACAGTGGGAGAGAAAACTTCCTATTTGTTATTCATCACATTCCTCTGGATATATCATCAGCAGGCTAATTAAAATGTATCATAGCGCAGCCTGCAGGCGGGCGCTGGGCCTGTGGCTTCATGCAGCCTGCGAGGATGTAATCCTGAGCAGCATGAATGAAGTATCTGTAACAGTGGCACAGTTACTCTTTTGTGTTGGCCTTTCAGGAGGCAGTCATGTGGGTGGACAGCCAGCTCGCGACTGGGAGGACCAACGATTTAGTTTTCTAAACACATTTGCTGCCCTGGAACTAGTTTACTTAGGAAAAAAGGAAAAGGAAAGCACCATATTGATTTGATATAAACCCAACTAAAACTCCTCAGTTGTTAATATTGTAATATATGTGGAAGTTAAAAATCCCTCCAGGTAAAATTATATAACATTTAATTATAAATGTATATATTGAACGGAGAAATTGTTAAATATACATTTTTAACTTTATTCAAATGGAGAGGTTGTTTTCGATTTGCAGAGACATTATATTATCTCCCATCACCCAGTGGGAAGGGGCTAAGAGAAGGCCATCTTAAAGTAGAAAATGTCAAGGAAATGAACCTTAAACCAGAAGCCCTGTGTTTGTCTGTTCAAGATAAGATGTCTGCAGAGAAGACAACCCCAAGGACCTGACCTTAACTCTTAAAATGACTTTTAGCAATAGTTTCTTTCTACATTCAACAAAGCAGTGATTTGAAATAGTATGTGCACAACATAGTGAAGAACATATTAATTAACTTTGCCAGCCTTTCCTGCAATCCTGAGTCATAAAGTAATTGGATCCACATATTTATTTATATAAATAAACACAGTTTATCCTCCCGGTACTTTCAAAGTGTTGTGCAAGTGTCTGCTTTTTACAATCGTTCAGTATTAATGGATAAGACTTGTTATTTCCTGTACAGTACCTGACTGTTCAGAGAACTAACAGAGTTTCTGCCAAGTGACAAATTTTAAGGGCTTCATTAATTAGTTTGAATAGTCATAGCGGTAAAAGTGTTTATTATTCAATGCTTATAGGAATGAGATGATCATTTTGGTGAAATTGCATGCTTTTGTATAGTCATGCAGTATTTTAAGGTAGCAGATAACAGTTCGACTTTGAGACCTCACTGTAGTTCAGTTCATATTGTCATGGTGGTGTTGAAATCAAACACATTTAGCTGAAGCTGAGGAACTTCCTGTAAAGTATATCCATCTTGTCAGGTTATTCTATGATTGGAAGAGCTTTATAGTCAACTCTATTCTATCCTTTTAAAGTGTCAAAGCTTGTTCTGAGCTTGGAATTCAGTTCCTATGCTTTGAAAAAATCCACAAAAATAAATTTGAAAGATTGGATTTATATTATATTTTCTGTCATGCTTTTGTTCCACTTTACCATCTGAACATAAACGAGTAAAGCTGCCATTTTACCCCCCTGTTTCATATTGCAAAGACAAAGGAGAGCGGCCTCTTTCTGACCCAGAGGAGGAAAGACAGTTTACATGAGGGGATATAGGTCTTACAGTAAGACAAACACGCCCACCGGGTCAGACTATACAAGCGCACACAAACATACACATGAAACAGACAGCCTAAGCTATTCTCTGTGTGCTGGGTTTATGTACCGTTTCTTTTTTATTTAGTGAAAGCTCAACTGGCAGTGCAGTCTGATCCGGCACAAATCTCATGAATCCCTTTATGTCAACAAAGTTAAAGCCAAGAGAACTCAGCTATGTTACATTTGCTTATTTCTCAACTCCATATTTAAACATGGAACACACACTAACACAAGCATGAGAAAAGCACCCATCCATCTTCCTTTCCCTCCCACACACATCCTACATGTATTTGCACACATTAGGTCAGACACTTGTAGATGAATGGTTGTTTCCTGTGCGTTTATCCGGTAGCACTGACCTGTTGCTCCCAGTTGTCCGGCAGGGGCAGGTGGTGGTTCCGTCCGTTGGTCTTCTCGTAGTAGTACACGAGTGCGTTCAGGTCTGGAAAGTTCCGGTTCAGATCGAATTGTCTGGCGTTCCCTCGACCCACCAGGTAGCCGTTGGACTCTGGACCCTGTTGACCCAAAGACAAAATATTATGTTTCTCAAACAGCAACTTGAGTTGGATTACCTTGCTGCTTTTTCTCAGGAGAGCGATTGAGTTTGCTTTTTGCTTTTTTTTTAAATGTTATTTTTTAAGCTATTAATCATTATTGCTTGGAAGCAGTGAAGGAAAACTTGATCGCGTATGTATTCCACAAAGAGCACAGGAAATCTGCTGTGCAACAACAGTAGATTATTCTCCAAGGTTCCTTTTTATAAATAGCATTAAATACACAATGTTCTTGTTTCTAAGAAATCACAACTCAAATCCTTCCCAAAAGACTTTGAGGGAGGTTAAGGTTACGCAAACTAACGACAATTCCAAGACTTGTGAGTATGATTTAAAGACCCTTGACAGGCAGACACTAAACTGAAGGATCGTGATTATACTCAGAACTCATGAAGTTTGCGTATGGGCTTTTGAGTGAAATGTCTCAATATCTATTGGATGGATTGCAGTGACTTTTTGTACAGATATTCATGTTTCCCCTAGTGCATAGCCAGGACAAAATGTCGACTTGTTTACTTCTTTGTTTTAAACGAACGACATTCTAATCAGCCTAAAACTATACTTTTTTTGATAAGCAAATGATTGCACTTGAAATTAGATCTACACTCTTGTCTTAGTATACTCAGGACTTAGAGTTGACCTCAAATAGCACATTTCATCACGTTATCTTTACCTATTGTGAAGAGAGATACTCTAGTTTTATTTTTGACATCTGGAGCAATTGATTTGTTCCAAAATAGGGCGGCTTTTGTTGGATTTTCACAGTATTTCCATGCAGACTTTGTGAACAGTTGTAAAACAAATAAAAGAACAGACTTATATATATATACAGTATATGTTACTGCTTGGATTATCGCATTTATTTGATGCCATGGGCAATAAACTAAATCAGTTGGGAAATAAAACAACCCTTTATTGCTGTCCAGATGCTGCTGTGTCCAAACATCTGTTGATGCAACAAATCATAGTGCTTTGTTACTTCGTTGTCTGAGCGGCAAAGAGAGGGACGTGTAATTAGTCTCAGAGATAGTGAGACGGTGTGTGTGGGTTTGTCTTGAAGGGGGAATGCATGTGTGTCCGTTGTGTCACGGTACATATAATTATGTAGAAAGCTATGGGCTCTCTCAGGGAGCCGATGGATGGGATTATTACAGACATTTGCAAAACATTGGAATATTTACAAACAAACATGTTTTTGGCTCCTGGTTGCTTGTCTTTGGTTGATATACACACACCCACATACCTTGTGTTATCTGCTGGAGTCAGATATGTTGTTGTGCTGTGATTTAACTTGCAGGTGTTACATTCTCCTGAGAGACCTTCAATATTTCTAATGTTTCCACTGGCAAGAACACAATCAATTGGAAAAAACGTAGAAACTTTTCTCGATAAGTGGCAAATGATTGTTGGAGAAAAACAGCCAAATGTGTCCCAGTCGGGTTTTTTTTCCTTGTTTTCTTCATCATGCGGATGCCTGGAGCTCACATGTAAGTGAGTGTGTACATTACCTGTTTGGCAGCCACCTCATAGCCATCGGGGTTCATTGAGGGCAGGATGTGGATGCGCGTGTCATGAATCAGCCTCATGATCCGCTGGTTTCCGGCCCGATACTCCTCGCACAGAAACTGGGAGAGCTTAATGAGCAGTTCACGGCCGAGCACTTCGTTGCCGTGCATGTTGCCCACGTACTTGAACTCCGGCTCCACTGGGGAGGAAGTGGAAAGATGGAGGTCAAAAAGCCACACAGAGCTGTCAAGCATGACATTCACGATGACTGCCTGAGCATGCATAGGTATACGTACAGTACGTACACACATATGAGCATGAAAATACAGTAGACTTGGGCTGTTTCTTCATGATTTGCACTAGGAAAAATAGTATTTATATGAGACATTATGATAGAAACTTTCTACATTTTTGACTTTTTTTACGTTACAGGAATTACATTTTGAAATCATCACAACATAACCTGATGTATGCTTTGGTCGTTAGTCACAGCAGCCCCTCTAGCCATAAATTGCATTAACAGCAGATTGAATATCCCTCTTTATTATATTACGCAACTGTTTTTTCTTGTAAAAATCTGGCGCCAACGTTACCGACACTGCAACTCGACCACCAAAAGTTTTCTCAGAGATTCTTGTGTGTTATGCAAATACCGCATAATGCAACAGAGATCAGGAGAGGGCTTTAGAGGCCTTCTGGGACCTTCCTTTTTCACTTCACACCACAAGATATGTATTCCATTTTCAAATTGTGCTCTTCAGCCCGAAACAACACTGCCTTACTTCAAACTTATCTACACAACTTTTTTGACAAATGGAGTGTTTTTCAATAAATGTATTTGATATAACTTTGTTCTTTAACCAACATAAGCTATGACTTTCTGATCATATCACACCAAATAAGGCAAAAATACGTTTTATAACGTAATTTGAGAGATTGTTCTATTTTGTTCGTATTCAATTAATTACTAACCTTCATGTCTTTACTTTAGCACCATTTCTTATAGGGTACTTCTGACAAAGGTGAGCTCTTGGGTGTGAGTCTGATTACAGATTGGATTATTTGGATAAGATCTGGCATTCCTATCTGCCACTGATTGGGTGAGCCACCTATCCAAACAGCCCCCCCTCTCTGTATAGGGTTCGCTCCTCTCAGGGGTCCCTTCATTAATCACGGCTGCAGCGTTGATAGAAGGACCCCCGGACACAGACAGTAGACAGAGCAACTGCTGAGCACTTAGCTTAAGGCTAAAATAATGCTGTATTATCCCCATATGAGTCTACTCAAAAAGCCCGCTACTTAACACTGCATTATTGCATTTGTTCGCACTTCAGTTGTTCATGAGAAGAAGTAGGTTTTTTGGGGGTGGGGTGTTTGTGGGGCAGTTACTTCCAACTGTATGAACACCCTTCACTAATTGCTTCAGGCACCCAAATGGCAGCTTGAGCGCTGCAATTCACCTCCTTTTCTTTAACGTGCGGCCAACTGGCCTCAGGTTCAGAAAACAGGGTTGGCTCTAGCGTGCTTTGAAACACACACACTGAGCAAAATGTGAAAGACTTCCTAAATGGTGCAAGGGGGTTGACCCAGACAAGACCCTCAGGTCACTCCCCTCCACGAAGTGCACGGTTCCTGTTTTTCACTCTTAGTCATCTTGCAACAGAACAGGCGCACATCCTTCTATTCTACTGAAAGAAGCCCCTACGTGTGCAAATGCACCAAAAAAAAAATGCAAGCTCAGTTGCAGCCAAAAAAGCATTCCCTGCAGTTGTCGGGTTGTTTCTCTTTTTCAAAGAACATTACAAATGTAAGAATGGAAAAATCTTAAAAATCACTAGAGTGTGACCCTTTGGCCTGGTAATGATTCAGCTCATATGCCAAATAAACACCTGGAGAGCTGATTCAGTGGTGAGGGGGGGGGGATAAGCAAAGTTTTGCAAGAGCGGGTTGAGAGCCTTGTTGACTCAAAGTCAACTTCTGTGTCATCTGCCTAGCTTTGAAAGAAAAGAAACACTTTGTCAGTGGTTGGATGGCAAGAACTGAAATGAATCACAGATGTTCACTCGGTTCTTTCACTTTTTGCTTGTATCTTTCAATTTTAGTTCTCCACTGATTACAACCATCGATGTTTATCAAAGAAGCCAAATTGGGAAAACCCATCTTTTTCTTCTTTAGTATTAGTTCACATTATATTCAGCTTCAGGGAGCCAAATGGGGTTTCATCTATTGGGGGGGGACACAGACTGCTCTGAATCATGCCAGCTATTTGCTCACTCACTCAGAGCAAGAGCTGCAAAACAAATCGGCAGCCAATACAGCCTGAGCATTTAAAATCCGAAAGCATCATAAATCCATGTACCCTGTAGCTATAAAACAGCTTTGTGTTTGTTTATCAGCTTCACATTGTTTAGTGTCTTTTGACATCAGTTTGACCTTACTGTCATATAGAAAACTTAACTCGTGGAAACTATTTTTCACATTTTATTAAGATTGAATACTTTAGAAGCTTTAAAAGTACTGTATGTCTGTTAGTAATAATAGGCTGCAAGTGTTTTAGTCTTGACACACATATTTATGTAAGGAAATTCTGCATTTAAATTTATTGTGACAAGGTCATCCTCACTGGGCTGTCAAACAGTGAACGAGGAGTTACTCACTTGCTTCATGGATGCCTGGGTTATCACTGAACTCCAGCACGTAGAGGTGGCGCCCCTCTACGCTGCGCCCGATGCTGTAAATGCGGGTGATGTAGGGGCATTCGCTCTGCACTGCAAACAGGGCTCTCACCAAGTCCTCATAGCGGTGATGCTGGAACTCAGAGCCACTCACCAGGAGCCCCATCACCCCCAAAAGGAGGGCAGAGACCCAGGGAAAAGTCCACCCCTGCTGCATGGTCCCTCACCAAGTTGTGCAGCACAGGAGTGAAGGGCAGGAGGCAGAACAAGAGACTTCCTGCAGCTGTGCAAAGCACTTTCAGATCTATATTTACCTCCCTACACACCAAACTGCTTACTCCCTGCTTGCTCTTTCCCTTTCTTGTCCCCTTCTTTCTCCTGCTCTCCCTGTGCCTCCTCCCACACACAGTCCTCACACTGAAGAGCAAGTAAGGACGGCCCCCCGCTCCTTCTTTGTCTCACTCTCCTCCTCCAACAGCTGCTTCTCTCCCTCTCTCTTTCCCCTTTGAGTCCTTGTCAAGTACATGCTACTTGCTTTATTGGCGCTTAGAATACTTCTGCTTCAAGTAGTTCGCCCCACAGCCCCCTCGGCTCTGTGCACACACAATCTGAATTTCATTCTGTCTCTGAGACACTCATTTTCTCTCTCTCTCTCTCTCTTTGTCTCCAACTCTTGTTATATACTCCCTTCCTGGGAAAGAGGGGTTTTTTCCCGGCACTGCTCTCCCCAACCCCTGCAGCCCTCAATCATCCATTCATTAACTCTTAAGTCAACACACAACCCCTGTGTGTGTGCGTGTGTGCGTGTGTGTGTGTGTGCGCACGTGTGCCTTTACCCTTCAGATAAATCAGTGTGAGAACACTTTCGCAACCTTTGAATTGGATTTGTAGCTGTTTCTTCGAAGTAGCATTCACACACACACACAAAATATTATTATTTGTTTGGTATTTCATTTTTTATTATTATTGATTTTTTTGTTATACTTTTTCATGAATTTTATGTATTTTATTTGATGTTAATCTAATATATGTTTTTTTTAAAATATTTTTCTCTTTTATTTTCCATCCTATTATATTCATATCAGTGTGTGACATCTGATATTATTCTAATATTTGTAATGTATTTTTCTCTTTTATTTTACATCCTATTTTTTATAGCATTTTTTGGCTTAGTTCGTATAGGTAGGGAGGTAGGTAGGTAGGTAGGTAGGTAGGTAGGAAGGTAGGTAGGAAGGAAGGAAGGAAGGTATAAGGTACACTCTCTAAAAAGTCATTCAGGGGACCTTTTACCACCACTTAATTAAATGCATGTTTGCAAGATACAAATTTGAATTAATTGATTTAGATTACATTTTAAGTTGCAAACATTAATTTATAAGTTGTGTTGACGTAATAATGTTGGTAATTACATCAACTTAATATTGTGTGTAATTTAAACTCTAATTTCTGCGTTAATTGACTTAAAAACAAATTCAAGTTTTAGTGTGTAATGCAATTGGCTTGATAACTTAATTGTTCTACACCTTGAGTTAAGGATTTGAAGTCCACTCCCACTTAACATGCCTGGACAAGTTCCGACAGTTAAGACAAATAGAAATACTATACAAAGGACATTTTTATGGTGAGTGTCATCTTTTGTCATTCAATTACAGATAGGCTTGTAGTTGCACTGTATAGGCAAATTGCTGTTTGACCAAAATTAGCAGCCTTTGAACTGTGAATAATTCTGTGAGAGGGTACAAAGTATAGAGGCGACTGTGAGTGTAAAAATACTTTGGTTACTATTGTGATACAACTTTTTATTAAAAAAAGTATTGGTGAAGCAGATCAAGAACATGCTTCTTGAGGTAGGATCTTTATTTAGAGTTGTCATTGAAATGCAAGTTGGCAGTCACCCATTCAGAATATATTAAACACTAGGCAAAGTACTCAAAACCACCTCTGTTACCTCATTCACTCCAACGGTGTTTCAGGGCCGGTTCGGAGCTGGAGCTTGAAAAGCACCGGGTTTTCCTCTTCACACCGCAGCGGAGCAGCCTCTTAGCTCCGGAATCCGGTTCATTTCGAGCACCAAAAAATTGTCCGGCCAGAGCAAAAGCACCACATACGTCACGCTTGCGTCGAGGCGGGGGCAGGGGCAGGGGTGGGATCAACTCCTGAACAACAACAAAAAGCCGGCGTTTTATCCAGTTTGTACACAAAACGATGGAGAAACTTAACAAGCAGCAGTGGTCCCCTGAAGAGACCAGCTACCTACTGGGAATCTGGTCTTCCGAAGAGGTACAGAGGAAGCTGGAGCACAATCGGCCATTGTTGTTGTTGTCGGTGTCAGCTGTGAGGGGTTTCCGCGCGGTTTGGCTTTATGAAGCAGGCACGCAAACGGTTACGTCATGACGCAAACGCTGACGCAATGACGCAGCACCAGTCGGACTCTGGGCAGTGTAGAAAAGAGCCGGAGCTAAACCGAAGAACCGGTTCTGAACCTGAAAAGCTCTAGCACGGAGCTTGAACCGGAGTTGCGTTGGTGTGAATGAGGTATAAGAGTGACAGTTTAAAAAGTATGCAATTACCTAATTCATTATCTCTTATGCGCTAACCTATTATTTAATGTTCTTCAAAAGGACATGACTATCGCCTTCATCAGTGACCGGTCCACCCCAGGATC